AAAGGATCTATGCATTGCATTTCTGCTTTCCTGAAGCATGACTGTAAAAGCAGAGTTACTGAATGCCAATGAATGAATGTTGGTTAACAACTCAGTCCAGCCATTTCAGTAGGAATTATTGCTTTATCATGTTTCAAAGCGGGTGGGGGAGACCTCCATTTCCACTGAGCAGTGTTTGTGGAAAGTAATAGCAAAGTTGAGAATTAATGGCGTCACCTGGATGGTTCAACATTTCTGAGTGCCGACTTTTTTTTTTATAGAGAATGCCGACTGTGACGGTGTTTGCCGGTCATCTGAAAATGCGGGGCATTTGCAGCGAGCAAACGCGTTTCTTTAGATTACGTTATACACATCGCAGAACGAAAGTCAGGACTGTAGCAGAGACAACACATAGACCCTTTAAGACCTAATGTGGCAGATGTATCCACATTACTTACAAATAGCCAAATGTTGGCATTTGGTTGCTTTTACTGTACGTCTCAACTGTGGAATGAATGCTAACGTTTGCCCTGATACAACCAATGTCTCTTTATTATAATACATGCTTACTCCAAGTGTATGGCACAAAACATAGCCATAGAAGGTAGAGAGAATTGTTACAGTCATCAGTTCACGGCGACTCACAGAGCATAATACATCTAGAAAAGAAAATTATACATGATCAGAAAGAACTAAAGATCACACGAGGGTGTCCTATCTTTCCAAACTACTGACAATACAAAATAAAAAAGGGGAAAATATCAACTTTGTCATAAAATTAGTAAATTGTCAGGCTAAAATGTAGCAACAATTTGAACTTAAATACAAGAAATGCGTCTCAACATGTTTGTTGTGGAGAATTTATACAAAATGGTGCTGCTCGGAGCATCAAAGGGCAGCGTTTTTAAAAGCGGGGTTTCTTAGCAGGACCATCAAACTCCTCGCGGACCCTGCCGAACCCGGGGTTACCAGGACCCATTCCCCTAGGACCGCCCTGGGCGAAGCGCTCGTTGCGCTGTGGGGGTAAATTTGCCAGGCAGGCAGATAGGAAGGGAGGGGGGTACGGTATGGGTTCAGTGCGCAAGCACACAGTTCATGTCCATATGGAAGTGCATTTAAAAAGGTACGGCAATAGAGGTGATTCGTTTTATATTGTGAGATTTACAACACAACCAGCAGGAGACACATCCGAAGAAACCGTTCGTTCCAATATGAAGGTCCACAGGTGCCACAGGTTACATACGGAAAAGGAAGAGAGGGTAATGCTTTCGTTAGTCAGTGCCTACCTAGTATAGTCTCTCCAGTGCATGCCAAGACTAGCCTCACTTTTTCTTAGATCTAGCAAATACTGTCCATATTTACCTCCTGAAGATCATTGCCTATAGCAACAGACAAACCTCTCGAAGGAGGCATTTTGAATATAAATTACATTCATAAATGCTAAAGAAAAATTGTATATTCTTTGTGCAGGCAGAAGTAGCGTTTGCTTAAAAAAAAAAAATAATAATAATAATAATAATAATTATATATATAGATATAGATATAGATATATATAGATATAGATATATATATAGATATAGATATATATATGCTGTGCCATCGTAACAAATTCTGACTGAATTAAGTGAGTTCAAATGTTTCTTGGGCAGAAATGATGGAGTGTTGCTCGACTGTCCAGCTATCACAGCATCTATTATGGCACTGCATTGCTAAAACTCAACTAATGGTCCCAAATGGGACATGGATTTGAAATATAGGGACTGGTCCAGGAATACATGTGTAGAATATATGAGCACAGTATAAAGTAAACATTGCACAATATTCAGCATAACCATTTCTCCAACAAGAAAGCAATTTGTTCACCACAAAGTACATTTTATGCCAATCCAGCTCTGTGAACATAATCTGTGAACATAATCTCCATCAGAGGTGGTGGCTTTGATGTACGAAACTACAGTGGTAGTACAATATGGTAAGAACATACAAAATAATGTACTTGTATGGATATATCCTGAACTGGATCGACATTAGGGCCGCACAATATTTATTTATAGTCACCGCGGTGTGAACTTACTTGATTAACACATCGTGAAAGACTGCGATGTTGCACTCAGCTACATTTTAGTGCAGTTTCCTATGGACACTTTCACTTAACTGGAAAAATACCTTTATCTTTTTTTAAATTTGTTCCCTTTGTGTTCAGTTAAAAGATCAATTTGTAAGTGTGTGGGGAAAAAAAAAATCATTACAGCGCAGGATTGGCTATAGGACAATTTTGAGTAGAGATATAGTATCTATATACAAACGTCAAGTATTGACCTTTTATTCTAAAAACTATTCATATTTACAATATAAATGTAACAATAGCTTTTTAGCTATTGTTACATTTATATTTTTTCTGGTGCGGTCATGCAAGTCAGCGGGACCGGCAGGAAGTTGGTCAAAACAAAGCTGGAGTGTTGGTCAGTCTTTCTGCATGAATAACCCATTTTGCTGCTAGAAAAGTGATTGAATTGAGATGAACAGAGTAAAACTTGACAAACTGCATAATCTGAATTTGGAAAAAAAACAGAAAACAGCCTGCAATAAATTGTATCTTGATTTAAATATCCTGGGGCCTCTGCTGATTCCCACCCGTATTACATTTTTCGATAAAAGAATGTTGGTAATAATTTCCTGTCATTATTTTAACTTCAACAAGCAATTTGTTTCAGCTTAGCAGAATGCTGAAAGCAGCAGAACAGAGTATACTTTAATATTTGTTTATTTATTAGTAATATCGGTATTCAGAGAACGTGATCATCACATAACCTCCTCATATCGTGCAGCCCTAATCTACATTAATCTGCTCAGCCCTTTTTTTTACTGAGCTTTACATTTGGATGTCACTGCAGTGTGTCATGGTGCACACTCCATGGTTTGAGAAAATGATGCATCGCCAACAACAACACTGCCAACAAACTTGAACCTAAAAATAGTCAGGAAATGGCGCTTTAAAGGCAAAGCAAGACTGAATAATTAGGGCATGCTATCATTAGCATAAATAAAGTTTGATTTGTCAAAAGTGAAGCGCACCATTTTTCAAATACAAAACATAGTCCAGTAAGTTGAAGCATATGTTGTAATGCAAATACAAACGTATATAGAACTTCAACGCTTGATTAACAAGTAAAGTATTCTGGAAATGCTTTTCATTCATTTCACCTTCAATGTTAACACATGTTTAACCGGTCAACTGTAACCCAGCAACCAACATAACACCGGTACTACAATTCTGCCAATAGCCCAGTGTTTACCAATATCATCCTCATCACCGGTGGTCACAAAGCTTTGCCTGCCCCCGTCAATTAATCCTGCTGTATTATTTAATTTACAATATTGTTTTCAAGATTGAATGCTTTATACCGTCAGCCTGCACTAAAAGCATTATAAATGCTCAGTTACAAAAGAAGATGTTGAGAAGGTAAAGGCTGCTGGTCCAGAAGATGAACTACACCACTACTTCAGGTCTCAAATTGGCTTATAGCACAAGAGGAGCTTTACACAGGATTTCACACTACCACCCAAAAATACAACTTCCTTCTTCTCATGACAGATGATACATCGAGCTGCTAGCACAGCATGAAACAAAAAGGTAAAACTAGATGAGAACATTGTTAAGGGGGGGAAAAAAACCTCAAGAAATAGTGCCTGTCCAGCTCACGTGAGACAGGTCTTGCAATAGCAGTCCACTACGCCAACAAGTGTTATAAGAGTGAGCAGAGCCACTGAAGTCTGTCTACAGCTGTCAGAGCAATCTCTTATGGTTTAGGGCAGGTTGACGGTTTCGGGACGATAACACTCAGCTGAAGGCAACTGAGGGGGCATGGCTAACCATTGAAAGAAACACTATCAGGCAGGCAGCATGTCTGTATCATTCAACAACCAGCAAGCCACCCGAAGACAGCTGGGAGCACAAATTATTCATCATTTCCCGTCCGCTTGGTCAGCTGGCCTCCAAGTTAAAAGATCAGCTGGGAGTCTCTCCAACAAACAGGAAAGTCGATCATGAACTACGTCAACTACTGATTGATCCACAAAGTGGGATACATTACCATTTCGTTGCCCATCAGGCCTCCTGCGGCTGGTCCCATTCCCTTCTGCCCCTCAAAGCCCAGTCCGCCCATGGGGAACTTCTGGTTGGCTCCACCGAAGGGCATATCTGACAGAAACATCATAACAAGTCAAATACAGGTACTGCACATGAAATCAACGTATTAGACGAACTCCTAATGTGGTCTGTTCGTTAGACAAGATATAGAATTGGGATGCATCGCTACAGGTATCGGGCCGATAGCGACTCCAACTGATCGATCTGGTTTTGGTAAAAACATGGGGGATATAATTAATTCAAGTCTATGTTGTGTACTATATACATCAAATACACTGAAATTATAATTCATATTTTGACCAATTTGTTGCTACATGCACGCCATGTTCGTTTTCAGGCACAACATGTTTACATGCTTTTAATATTTGAAAAAAATACACCCTCTTTGTCTTTGTCTGAATGCATGCCGTGTGTATTCGCCATGAATTAAACATTTCAATACTGAACAGTATTTACATAGAATAAAAAAGGAGACATGAAAATCTCACAATTTACAATATGAGACCTTTATATAAAAAAAAAGTGTATAAAGGTTACATAACATTTTAATAGGTGTTTATTTAGATGTTTACTTAGAAGTGACTGGTGTATGATTTATTATAATAATCAGTAACAATTTAGTATGTTTCATACCGGTGTATATATTTGTTACATCTTGTCTTACAATATTAAGAAAGCAATGGTTAAGTCAAGCCTGATGTCTTACAAATAAAGGAATGACCCAGTATTTTCCACACAGTGAGGCCCACAGCTGATTGACTTAACACTGGTGTTGGATCGGTGCTCCGTATCGGCTGACATCCAAGGCCCAGGTATTTCCATCGGGAATGAAACAGTAGGTGGATCCCTAATATATTACATTTACTTAGATATCGGTGTCTCATTTCATATGAAATCACACAACAGTGTGAAGAAACGACCCGAGTTCTGTATTAAATACAAATACACAAAAACTCATTAGCAAAAAATCCTACATTCATAATGGTTTCTTAACCGTTTGAGAGGTTCTGGTTAAACTTTCTTTCATGTTGGGCGCTGAAGTTTGTGGTGCTGTTGAATTGAATTATTCTGATATACACGGGGCTCATCTTAATGCCTCTATATTCTCTTTCTAAAGAAGTAACCTCAATGAAATTACTTAAAAGAACTTACCACCACTCATTCCCAAAGCTCCACCGGGATTCATTCTCATTTCTCTGTCCCTCTGTAATAACAAAAGACAAAGACGAGAAAATAAGTATTGAACCGGACAAATATTTATGAAATATCTTCCTATACTGCATATCATAGTCTTGTATTATGTGGTTAAGTTGAACTCACATCCATGAAGTTGCCCATCCTGTAGTTCTCATCACGCTGGCGGCGCATCTGTTCTTCCATATCCCTCTTGCGAATCATCTCCTCTTCTCGCCGGCGGCGCTCTTCCTCTTGTCTGTTTACACAAAAAAAAAAAAAAAAAAAAAAAAAAAAAACATTCATCATGTGATCCCGGTGTTTCATCGATAAGTTTGTGTTTGAGAGGATGCCCGAATGACCAACATCCGCTTCAATTGACAACCAAATTCTAATTCTAATGAACATAAATACCTGATCTGCATCTCCTTTCTCTTTTGCATCTCCTGACTGTGTATCTCCTCCATGCGTCGCAGCTCCTCCTGTCTCCTCAGCAGGTCTGAAAGGAAACCAGCCCATTTATTTGTGGCACTTGAAGACTAAGCTATCCGGTGAGTGACAACTTTTCTCACGTGATAAATATCAGAAAAATACAATCAAACCGCTGCAGGGCTTTTTTTTCTTTTGTAAACCCAGCAACAATATGACTAAACTTGCCTTGTCTGAGCAGGTTGGCCTGGTGCTCGTGGAACGCGTCCTCCATCTCGCTCTCCAGCTTCTCGCGGGCCTCGCGCATGTTCTTCTCCACCTGCTGCCTCTGCTGCTTCTCCATGTCATCCAGGGACTTCCAGCGTTTGGAGTACTCGTATTCGAAGGTGCCGGGACGAGCAAAACGAGGAGGTTCCTCACGCTCTCTATGGAGGTAATATACAGATTGTTAGATTAAGATGATTGTATCCTCACCATAGACCTGTGGAGTTCTGCTCTGTGGTGGAAATACTACCAAACATTTCAGAATTAACTAGGAACATTTTGAGGGAATAAATATTCAAACACCATTCTTTTGAAACTGACCAATAATTTGTTTTCAACTTGTCTATATTAGTCAACTTAATACAGTGAGCAACATGGGTATCGGTGCTAATTGCCAGCGAGGGGATTCATATGCAGCAGGCAACATCCTTTCTCTTCCTTGCCTTGATTTACACAGATTACCATCTGCCACTCCATGTCGATGACTGATTTTTAACAGCTGCAATCCCTGAACCTAACCCCTCACACCATCTGCTGCTCACAATACAATGACGTGTAGCAAATTTGCATAATAAAACAGCTAAACTTATCCCTACAGAAGGCAAATGGATGGGACAAAGCAGGGTAGGAAATGTACATATTTGTAAATGCCCCCATTGACTGAAATCCAGGGGCATTTTCAAAAAATTGGGTCACTTTTGAAATTTGTGAAATAACATTTAACCTTTGTTCAAAATAATAAATATACTTATTTAGGCTTACAGTATGAGCAATTGTCATCAAATGGCAATAATAAGAATATTAGGCAGTAGTCTACAGATTCAAAGTGTTTTCTTCGATTTTTTTTAAACAAAAAAACAAACATAAATCAGACAATCATATTCAATTTATTCTTATTTATTTGTGGTTATTTATTATTATTAAATGTTTTAAACAACCATTAACAATTATTAAGTCAACGATGCCTTGATTATATATACATCAGTCATTGTATGGAATTATTGAGAAAGAATATTTTTGTAGCACATCAAATATTGTGATATTACCCATTTTTGTCCTGAACTTATGCATTAGTCATTGTGTGGAATTTTTGAGAAAAACATTTTTATAGCACCTTAAAAAATGTGCCATTTGAAGGTACAAATTCAGTTCAGAGTTTTTACTGAGTAAAATATCTTAATTGACTGTCAGTCAGGTATTATTCATTTCCAGCAACCCTCAAATCAAACAATAAAGACACTTCACGCACAATTTAGGTGTATTTTCCCTTTAACTCACGAGATGCAGGTAGCATGTTTTATACTTAATGTGAATATAATTCATTTAATCTAATTTCCATTATGCAATATGTATACTTTGTTGGCATCTTATTCTGAAAACCGGATGTTCGTCTGAAGAAACCGGATGTTGTCTCAAGTTAATCTTTCCGTTAACTTTCAAAGTCCTTCACTCGCTCCCGATCTGCGCCGTTTGAATGAGTTTACCGCGAATTTCAGCATATAGGTGCACTAACATGTAAGTGTCTGCTGAGTTGACCACAGTCTCAGGTCTGATTAAGAAGCGCTCCATTTATTTATTCGTTTAGAAAGTTCGGGGGCATTTTTTGCCTCTCTCCCAGTGATATCAGGGGCAAAATGATATTTCTTAGGGGCAGTTTTGCCCTTTGCCCTCGTGTATTTCCGACGCTGGGACAAAGAGTGATTGGCTTACGCTTGATATCTGGGGTTCTTCTGTGCCAGCTTTTCTGGAAGACCATCTTCATCATCAAACTGCTCCAGAGGCTCGACAACGACGGGCCGGGGTGACCTGGAAAGGGTGAAACGAGCAAAGGCAAATAAGCAACGGATTTAAGGCACCTTTTATGGAGGTGTATCGGCTCATTATGCAAGCAGGGCCTTTTAAACTTCAACTTTACTTACGTAGTAAGCAGGAAGACGCCCTCGTTGCACCGATCCAGGGCCTTTCTGGCTGCAGGTTTGGACGCAAACTCGACAATGCCCTTGCCGGTGGCGCGGCCACGGTCGTCTACGATGACGATGGATCTCTCGACCATTCCGAACTGCGAGAAAGCTTCTTCCAGGAGCTCGTTGGACACAAACGGCGACAGATTCTTCACGGACAGAGCAGCGGAGTGTGTGGCAAAACGGACGCGCAGGGGTCGGCTTTTCATCGGCGTATCGTCCAACTCGGCTTTTGCTATCTCTGCAAGAGCACGCGACTCCTACGAGAAACCAAATGAACCATTACTCTTTTAACCCTCAGACCAATATAATTATTTTACCAAATTTCCCCCGGGGGATGAATAAAGTATATCTCTCTCTTTCTTTTTACACAAACTATTGACTTTTCTTACACCGTTTAATCAGAAAATATCAAATGATTGTTAGCTACATCGTCAAACTGGACCTCAAATTCTTGCACAATAACTATGAAACTGGTATATTTAAGGATGTGGTGTCCTACCAATCGGATGAAACCAAAGCCTTTGGTCTTGTTGATGAAGACCTCGCTGGGCTCTCCATATTTGGCGAACAGCCTTTTGAAATCTTCCTCAGTGATGTCGTTGGGCAGGTTTCCGATGAACAGACGACACCGCTGCGTGTACGTCTTCTCGCCGGGTTTCAGCAGCATAGAGAGCGTTGCCTTGAACGCCTGCCGAATGAGAACGATGTAACGTTATCGCCTTCAAATCTGTGCTATAGCAAACAATATATTTATGATATACTGAGAAGACAAAAAATACATACAAGAACTTTAAAAAAGAAAAAGAAAAGCAAGCCAATGGTCAAATATGATTGTCTTTGTTTGTATGCATGCTCAGTCACGTCACACTCAAATCTTCCTCCGCCCATCCCCCATTCGATGTGCTGTAAAAATAAGCCTGGCCTTTATATTCAAGTCAATTTTCGACAAACTAGCGTACACGAGGTATGTCAAAAAACAAGTGAGAAATAATTTAAAAACAAAACAAACATACTACATGTTCTTTGTTTTACCAGTAAACATTTTGCATTCATGCGTCTGTGTGGATTTTAGACAAGATGGCGGATAGCTTCAGCGAAAAAAAAAAGGATATGCGCGATTTCAGTCACCGCTTGTGCCGCCATAGTCAGCGGTCGAACGACGAGCTGAAAGCCGTTCAGAGAAAGTAGGGAAACTCCGCCCGCTCAGGACACATTGCATTTCAAATCGAACGTAATGCTAGTATTGAATAAGCTAACGTTAGCGAACAATAATGAGTGTCGACGCAATTCACAACAGAATATATTAATACGAATAAAACATACCTTTTCCTGACTCCCATCTGACCCAGATGTATCATTCTTTGGAGTCATTTTATCTTGCTCCTGTCTGGGCTTCATTGGCGGTGGCCCCATCCTCTGTCCTTGATAAGGGTTTGTTCTCATTCCTTGGTGTGGCCCTGTCTTCTGGCCTTGATGTTGCCCTGTATTCTGGCTTTGATGCGGGCCTGTCTTCTGGCCTTGATGTGGCCCTGTATTCTGGCCTTGATGTGGCCCTGTATTCTGGCCTTGATGCGGCCCTGTCTTCTGGCCTTGATGCGGCCCTGTATTCTGGCCTTGATGCGGCCCTGTATTCTGGCCTTGATGCGGCCCTGTATTCTGGCCTTGATGCGGCCCTGTATTCTGGCCTTGATGAGGGACTGTCTTCTGGCCTTGATGAGGGACTGTCTTCTGGCCTTGATGAGGGACTATCTTCTGGCCTTGATGAGGGACTGTCTTCTGGCCTTGATGAGGGACTGTCTTCTGGCCTTGATGAGGGACTGTCTTCTGGCCTTGATGAGGGACTGTCTTCTGGCCTTGTTGGGGGACTGTCTTCTGGCCTTGTTGGGGGACTGTCTTCTGGCCTTGTTGGGGGACTGTCTTCTGGCCTTGTTGGGGGACTGTCTTGGGGCTTGGTTGTGGAGGCGGCTTCTGCTCGTTAGCATTTGCTACCGGGGACTTCAGCTGCTGGTTCTGGTCCTTGTTTGGCTGGCTAGGTGGAGGGGAGGCAATGATGGGTTTTGGAGGGGGTGACTGAATCTTCGGCTGAGGCGCAGGGGTTGTCGGTTTCGGCTGCTCCGGTGCCGGTGCCGTTGCCGTTGCCGTCGCCGTCGCCATTGCCATTGCCTGTTTCTCCTGCTGCTGCTGTATCGGGCCTTTCATAGTGAGAGCCGGACCAGGACTTGGTGGAGGCAGAATTGGCAGCGACTGGTTCAGTTGTGGCTTCTGGGGAGTCTGTGGTCCTTGATTAAGCGGTCTGGTGAAGTTATTGTTTGTTCCCCTCCGATTTTGGTTCTGATTCTGAAATGGATGGTTCCTGAAATGTGGGTTTCCCATTAGCCCACCCCGCATCGGCCCGCCGGGCCCAATGCCCCCGAATGAGCCTCTCCGTTGCTGGAAATTATTCATCCCAAAGCCGCCGCGATTGTTGTTGAATCGAGACATTAATCCTTATATCAGTGAAAACTACAGTTAAAATGACAAAAGCGTTATAAATTGCTGCGCAACAACGGTCTCCTCCCGGTGTTTGCAGGTCGAGCTCTTCAAAATGGCGACTAACGGTTGTGTTTAAAGGAGTCTTTCTTTCTCCGGAAAAGTCAGCAACACCCCGATCCGCTCATTGGTCCGCTACTCAGCAGGAGGAGTCACGTGGGGCGTTCAGGGTCTTTTGAACGATGCACTACGTTTTGTCTTTTCTCTCGCTACAAACACACAATCAGGTCTCAAAGTTATTTAGGAAAATATAATGCTGTGGCTGTGAATGTCATTTCAATGTACAAACGTTACGGATGTAAAAACCTTTAAATAACATCAGAAAACATTAGACTACGAATTGAAATGTAGTTTTAGTCCCTGTATTAAATATCTATTCCATTCTTGTGTAAATTACCCTTCCCTTTGTTGATATTAAGACTGCTCTTTTTGGCTTATTCCTTAGCAGTAATTCTTCTAGATGCATTTTTTTATTGAAACGAATTGTAAAAAACAACTCTTTGTCCACATATTGATTACCAAAAAAGATCTGTTTGAGATAAACAATTGTTCAAAAAGAGCTATTTGGTCCACCACTTCCCCACAACATACTTTAGAGTTTACCCATTTAAACTCATCCACCTTTGCTAACCTTTTGTAAATGTTGAAATGAAGTCTGCAGAGATAAGATTATATGTAAATTTAAAAAAAAGGTAGGGAACATCTGACCTCCTGTTAGTGGACATTGTAAGGACACGAGTCACAAATTTGACGACTTCAGGCCTTACAAAATAAAAAATGACTTGGACTTCATGAGCACTTCCACTTGAACACAAATGTGTTTGTTTTTCTAGTTTGGCAACATTTTGTTGCAAGTCTTTTGGTGTTAACATGTCAAAGTGGCACTGAAGAACAAATAATTAATATGAAATAAACATTAAGACTTTTGCTGCTTTATCCGTCAAAGCACTTTGTAAACTGGGTTTTTAAACATGCTATATAAATAAAGTTATTACTTGATGCCAGGATTTGAGACTTTTTTTGGGATTTCTAAAACAATGACATGTTCCTACCTTTGTTAAAAGGACATTTGTGGTGGTCACTTAATTTTAGATTTTATGAATGTGTTTTAAGTTTTATATAGCTTATACACATTTTTTACCAAATGAAAGACAACTCACAGGGACTTTTTTTTCATTTATTCCGCATAGAGGTGTTTTGAAAACAAAAAAAGCAGAGACCACCAAGTCTCCCCTAAACATGTTTTTTTTTAATGCTCATTATAAACGGACACAAAAAAAGGATGAGATGACAACAGTGAGAAAACACAACAAAACATAAGTCCAATAAACAAAACACACAAAAGTAAAAAGCAAAACCAATGACAACATACAACCCAGGAGAAAACACAAGACAGTGCGACGTCATCACACAGGCGGGAAATGTTGGAATACCCAAAAAAATGACGAGGGTGTCAAAGAGAAAAACAAAGGACATAAAGAGAAGCAGGGCTGCATCAGATTCAGTGATGGGAAAACATAAAAGGACTCGAGGAAGTAAGAGACATTCATCGATTTGTCCACAACAATCAAAACGGATGTCTTTCCTCTTTTTTTTCCAATCAGGATTGAGAACAGCAATGCAGAACAAGTAATCATAAGAGCAAAATTAACATTCACAAAGGAAAATGCAGAACACCTGATATATATATTTTTTAAGCACACACGACTCAGCAGTTACACTCCTATGTTCAAGGATCACACATTGTTCAAGATTAACTGTTTTTTATTATTTGTAAAATCACCCTTCAGTTATGTTGGAACAGCTTCTTGCCAAAGCCCTCCAAGTGTATAGCCATTTCATTTTTAAGTAGTGAAATATTATAGCATTGGGTTTCACTTTAAATCTGACCTTTCACCTTCTATTAGTGGGTTACAGTAAGCGATTCTTTTCTGACATTTTTGTGGAGAATAAACGGTCTGAAGTTTAAAACTCAGGACTGCTGTGGCGTCGTGGAAGAAGATACAGAAGCAGCAGGTTTTATCCCAGAGTTTTAAAACTAACAAAACCAGTGAAAATCAACTGGGATTAATGGAGAGGAGGGTGTTTCATGGGGTGCTGAAACAGGAACACTTGATTGGGGAAAATGTTTAAAGAGGAAAAGTCAGTGGGAGGAACAGTGAAGCGACTCTTGTGTACAGTCTGTGCAGGCCTGCAAACATAGTGTTTTAATTTCATGCAACTCATACCCGTCATTCATCTTTAAGCCTACACTCTTGTATATTAAAAAAAAAAAAAAAAAAAAAAGAAAGAATTCAACTGAGGTAATTTTAAATAAAGAATGACATAAAACATAATCATGCAGGCGAGGAAGTTTTGAAATAAACAGCACAGGGTGGCAAAAGCATCAATTGGTTAGTTTTCTTTTATTTCAATTGAATTTTCTTCATGTACTTTTATCACACTTGTTAAAAAAAAGAAAGAAATGTGAGGCCCTTGTGGATGTTGGTACTTTAATAAAAAACGGTCGTCTGTAGGTAGATAACCGACGCGAGACCCAGACAGGCTGCAGTTTACGCATCATGGGGTGGCATGCGCCGGGGTGGATGGGTTGGTAGGAAACCAGCTCTAAAACCAGCACTCGCTGCACCCGAGTCAGACTCTGTGGGGCTCCAGCGCTGGAGTGAAGCCGCAGTCAGACTGAATTTAAACCTGGTGTGGTGTGGCAAAAAAATCAGGAGGGGACAGGAAATAGCGAGCGCAGGGTTATATTTCACTGCAGTTAGAAAGCAAGACTATAAAACAACCAAGATATCCTGAATGCCGTCGTTTTTTTAACAAACTGGTACATCGGAGAGCGTCAAAATTTAACATGTCAAAGTTCAATCGGATAATCAATCAAAGCAGGCAGCTCAAATCAAATGATTGGGATATTAAATCCGGTCCGACTGCGCCTTAGTATGCTCGCTGACAGTATCGGGTAGGTGTCAACCTGTTTATTGGTTTCCCACCAAATTTCCTACGGACTGACGATGAAAGAGGAAAAGGCGTGGCAGTGGAAGCGTTAGAGCATGAGACAGCAAAACGAAACAACAGTGGAGAAAAGCGGAGGTCGGAGGCTCTTTAAATAAAACCAAAGGGAATGTATCGTGTGAATCAGTGATTCTCCCTCCGAAAGGCTAAGACTTGTGAGTGCGAGCGCTTAATTATTTTAGAAATAAACCAGTGTGGGGTTGTTCTTGGTATGAGCGTTGACGGACTGCGTGGAGAAGCATATGTTTTGTTTGGCTGTGTGGGTAGAATCTTTCGGATTATCGAATGTGTGTGTGTGTGTGTTTTCATGCGTGCGTTTGCTAACTTGCCGATGTGTGT